TGCCTCAAAGATACACACTAGAAGTCGGGACGGCTCCTGCCGCCGCCGCCGCCTCCGGACGTCGTCGGCGCGAGGAACAGTCCCGCGTTCACGTCGAGGCCCGCGGGGAGATTCAGATCGCTGGTGCTGATACGGTGCCGTGGTATGTACAGAGATAAAACGGCCCGCCGCGATATGAGGAGGGGAAGCTCTAGACTACGCGGGTCAAAAAGTTACCGTGGTTCTACTATTCTTCAGGCAATGAAAATGCGGCAGTCTTTGGTTGGGGCCATGTCTGTCGACAGGCTTGCGAATGCTCCTGAAACATTGTTACGCCGTCGGTGGGTTTATCAATAACGAAGTCCGCAGTGCTTGCTTCGTTTTCTGCCAAGCTACGCACCAAGAAGACCACGAAATCTGGATATACTGCGGGATTAAATCGGGCTTGAATTCTTCGTAGCCTGCCTAACGTGGTTCGTGTGTTCTTGGGTGAGGTTTGGGCTCAGCTCAGGCGCGAAACCGTACGACTGTATTACAGCCTACACTAAAACAACAACGACTCTTCCCTGTCAGAAACCTTGGGAGATGTGAACACTCAGTCAAACCTAAACAGCAATCCGCCGCGCTGGGAGTCGGGAAACGAGAAAAAGCGGGGTCGTGCACAATGACAGCAATACTGGGGGGGGGGGGGGCGTCATGTCATGATTTAGAATCACTCACCGACAGCCGGCCGCGTAGGATAGTTCACCCGCAACGCGACTCAGCACATTTTCATCCTGTGAGGCTCCCACCGCGGCACCGGCACCGTCATTGCCTCTGCTGCCGACGGTATACCTTTGTCGATCGCGGGTGAAACGGAGGTGGCGCAAGATAAAGAATGCGGGCGTGGGCGGGGTTAACGCCGAGGAAATGGAAGCTTGAGCAATAAAAAGGTGTTCTTGGACGCCAGTGCTGCTCGTGCGAAGTGAGCGTCAGTACTATGAATCAAGCAATTAACCCTCCATGTTGGCAAAGCAAGGGAGACAAAAGAGTTGAAACAAAATACCTCGACAGTCCGGCCGTTCCGAAGGCCACCCAGTCGCCGACGCAGGCAGATGAGGCCGCGGTAGAGCAATCGCCGCTCAAAGATGGGACGATCTGCTCGCACAGCAAGAAAAAATACATAGGGGGAAACGTGGGTGGGGCGTGGAGGGAGGGTCATGCTTGAGGGACGCAACACGTGGGGAGAGGAGAGGGGGTGGGGGGTGGAGGGTGGGGGACGTACTCGTGTTTTGCATGCCTTAGTAGCGGTTAGGCCATTGACCGACAGGAGCTAACGTCGCCGCTCACGGACGCACAATAGGGGGGAGAAACGTGGGTTAAGCTAGCCTGGGGCCACGGAAGGCGCCCGCGTCAGTTGCCGGTGCGTACGTCACAAGGTACCTACCGGGCAGAGGTCGGCACGTTTTCTTTTGCGTGAACACCACAACAACGAAAGCTTCAGAGCCGGTTCTTGTGGGTTGGCCTGCAGCACTAGCACTTCTGCTATGCTAGAACCGAAGTCTCCTCATGACGCACTTCAGGCTCGGAACCTCGCCACGAGCACGCATCTACATACACATCCAGCGATACTTTCTTATACACGTGATGACCAACACAAACATATTGCCTGGCTCGTTAAGATGATGAGAGCAAGCTTGTTCAGGCAGAGCGAATGCAGAACACTGCTTGATGAAACCGTTACACTTGCCAGAGGCGTTTTGTTGACATGGTGACGGCATCATAATGCGCACACTACACCTGATGGACTCTCCCTGCGACCGGGTCTTGAAGCGTCACGAACGTCGCCATCTTTCGGATGTCGAACAGCTGCACGCACCCCACCCCGCACCCTACCGCCAGCACCACGTCTGGCAATCAATCAATCAATCAATCAATCAATCAATCAATCAAATCAATCAGTCAGTCAGTTACTCAGTCAATCAATCAATTAATACAAACGTGTAGTCGCTGCTGTTGTTGTTGTTGTTGTTGTTGTATCGTGAAATACACGGTGGCACTCGGCGAGTTCGACACCGAGAAAAAAAATCCATCCATGTCACCACTACGACGAGGGGCCCTTCCGCTGCTGCTTCTGCTGACAACCCTTCTGCGCTCGATTGCGGCAGAAACGCCAGGAAGTGCACCGAAAATGAAGAGCGGAAAGGATAGCCCCCGCGTTTCTCATTTCCCAAGAAATGAAAACGGGAAAGGCGGTACATGTATGGTGCTAGTGAGGCCGGTTAGTAAATACGAAACTCGGAGAGCGAGAAAGAGTGAAAATGTAGACAATCACTGGTGGCCAGAGGCAGGTTGTGGGTAGGTTGGGGCACCGACTACCCTGGGGGGGGGGGGGGGTGCAGCGCGGTTGCCGCGGGTTGCGGGTGTCTCTCCCGGGGTGTGTTTCCCCCTG